ACTCATAGAATTTACATTACTGAGAGAATGGTACAGCTGTTAACATTAGACATTGACATTACTGAGAAAATGGTACTGTTACATCTAAACTCATAGAATTTACATTACTAGAAATGGTACATGTTAAATCTAAACTCATAAGAATATACATTACTAGAAAATGGTACATGTTAACATCTAAACTCATAGAATTTACATTACTAGAACATGTTAACATCTAAAAACTCATAGAATTTACTATTTTTATAGAACATGTTAACATCATAAAACTCATAAGAAAATTTACATTACTAGAAAATGGTACATTTAATATATCTACAACTCATAGCAACTCAGTTACTAGCAAATGGTACCATGTTAAAACATTGAAACTCATTAGAATTTACATGTTAGAAAATGGTACATGTTACATCTAAACTCATAGAATATTACATTTTGTAGATGAAATGGTTAGCAATGTTAACATCTAAACTTCATAGAATTTACATTACTTGAGAACATGTTTAACATCTAAACTCATAGAATTTACATTACTAGAACATGTTAACAGAATTTACATTACTAGAACATGTTAAATCTAAACTCATAGAATTTACATTACTAGAAAATGGTACATGTTAACATCTAAACTCATAGAAATATACTAATTACTAGAAAAATGGTAATATGTTAACATTCTGCTAAACTCATAGAATATACATTACTAGAAAATGGTATACTGGTTAACATCTAAACTCAATAGAATTTACATTACAGAAAATGGTATATGTATTAACATCTATAACCATAGAATATGACATTACTAGAAAATGGTACATGTTAACATCTAAACTCATAGAATTTACATTACATAGAACATGTTAACAAATCTAAACTCATAGAATTTACATCTACTCAGAAAAAATGGTACATGTTAACATCTAAACTCATAGAATATACATTACTAGAAAATGGTACATGTTTAACATCTAAACTCATAGAATATGATACATTACTAAGAAATGGTACATGTTAACATCTAATACTCATAGAATATACATTACTGGAAGAAAATGTACATGTTAACATCTAAACTCATAAAATTCTAACATTACTAGAAAATTGGTACTTTGTTAACATCTAAACTCATGAATATACATTACTAGAAAATGGTACATGTTAACATCTAAACTCATAGAATACTGTAACCCAACGAATATTCGCGACCAAAATTTAATTATTTGCTTTATTCGCGGATGCTAACGAAGCGCGAATATTTGTTTGCGCGAATAAGTCCGCTACGATTTCGCGAATAAATTGGAGAGAAATTTTTTTATTTTAGACGTTGTGTTCATGCAAAAGCTACTTGACCGGACATATTCGAATTTTACGGCACTGTTAGGAAGAAATGAATTGTTATGAATATTGCATAAAGCAAAAAACAAAACTAAGAAAACTACTACTTTTTATAAATATCAAAAGAATCTATGTAAATAAGTCAATAAAAAAATAACATCCTTTTTAAATACATTAAATAAAATATAAAGTTTGAAAAAATGTTTGAAAAAAGTGGGAAAAATCGAGAAAAAAAAGGCTTTGATTTTTTGTCCTAAAAAATAATTTTTTGAGTAAATTGTTAAAACAAAGGTGGTATAACCCTAACGGGGGAAAACAAAAAAAAGGGGATTGGGTGTACATTAAATTAAAAAATTTATGGAAAATACAAAAAAAGGTTTCAAAACTAGTATCGATTTTTACCCGTTCCCAAAATTTAAAAGCCTGTTTTTTAACATAATTTTCTTTGGCCCTGGGTTCGTCCCCGATTGGGAAAAAGGTAATTTTTTTGGGAAAAGCTTAAAAATTGAATTTCTTTAAAGACTTTTCTAAATAAACGGTTGGGGTACAAAATAAAAAATATGTTATAGAAATAACCGACATGTTTTGAAATGAAGATGAAAACGATATTGCGTACATGGTTTAGCAAATATATGAGAAAATGTGTTGGCCGAATTTTTGATCACACAATTCACTTACCAATACAATATAAGGGCTAGCGAGTTGTTTAATTTTCCATTGTAAAGGGACAAAACCAATAATGACCTAAATTATTGGGAAGATTAATAGTCGGCTAATGGGTTGTTACGGCCCCCATCGGGACTTTCCCAATCCGCGAATTTGTTTTTTGTCGGAAATCAAAAAACGCGGATAGTTAATATTCGCTCGAATTATGGTACCGGACCTCTGCTATCTAGAGGCAAAACAGGCGAAAATTTGTAAACTTTCCGCGAAAATTATAAATTGGGGTTACAAAGGTAATACATTCTAGAAAATGGTATATGTTAACCATCTAAACTCAATAGCACACACGATACATTACTAGGAAAAGGGGTACATGTTTAACGAACATCATAAAATTCTTATACTTTTACATCACTAGATACAGTAAACATTTAACATCATAATTTCCCTTATTTACATTTTACATCACTAGATAAGTTTAAAGGTGTTAACCGCATTCATAATTCTTTATACTTTACATCACTAGATACAGTTTAATATTGTTAACATCTTAAATTCCCTTATACTTTTGTCATCATAATCAGTAAAGGATGGTTTAACATCATAATTTCTTATTAGTTTACATCAACTAGATTACCAGTAAGCCATGTTTGGAACATTAAATAAGTTCTTAATACTTTTACATACTAGAATACAGTAAACGATGTTTAACAATCATAATTCTTATAACTTTACAATGCACTAGAACAGGTAAACATGTTAAATCATAATTCTTATACTTTCATCATAGAATACAGTAAAATGGGTTAACATTTAAAATTCTTATACTTTACACATTTACTAGATACAAGTAACATGGGTTAACAATCATAATTCTTATACTTTACATCACTAGATACCCAGGTAAAATGTTAACATCGAATAATTCTTATACTTTAATCACCTAGATACAGTAACATGTTAACCATCATAATTCTTATAACTTTAACATCACCAGATACAGTTAAATGTTAATATCCAGCATTAGAGTAGCATGCCGTATCGGCGGTCATTTAACGGGCGCCCAAGCAAATATTAAAGAATACGCTAAGGCTTTGGTATTAATTTTGGTTTTATATTTAACGGCATTAAATAATTAACCAAGTTTACGCATTTTAGTGAAAACAAAAATTTTGGCGTAAGGCAATGTTGTTACACATTGACACTCCGATAAACATGATTGACTCTGGTTTAGCGTAACTGGTTCTATAAAAGGATTGTGTTTATTTTCACTTCGATGCTGGGTTTATAATTGCAAACCAGGCTCAACATTGTAATCATGGAACGCTCGTTAAATAGCAAAACTTTCACAGCCCGGTTAGCGTCACGCTTTTTGCTAACGTATTAACCACTGCCGACCACTGAAATCACGTGACGAGTAGTTGTAAATTATGTGACAGATAAAAACATGGCGGCCAGTTTCAGTAACGGCCAAGGACCGCCATATCACACTGGCAGTTTCTATAGATTAACATTCTTACCCAAGAACAAAATATGTTCAAACACACGGAATTTGTTAAAAACTTTAAAACAAGTGCCCATGGGTCAAATCTTTTGCGCTATCGTTCAATCAAAATCGTCTAAATTTTGCCATTTTTTACTATACATACGGTGTCACAGTGAAAATATATTTCGTTATGTTAAAAAATAATTTTATGGGCATATATTTTTTTACATTCTTGTACATTAAGCATAAACTATTTAACGAAAGAAAACTAAAATGATATAAAGTATTCTATTTTAAAATTAAAAGTGAAAAAATATATCCGGCTATATTCGACCGAATTTACTTGTGGTGGCAGTGGTTACTGTACTGATCAGGGGAAGTAACCGCTGCGAGGAGTTTGCGGTAATAGATGTATATAAGCATAAATCAAGCGTCTGTCACGTTATTGGAGTAGACGAAAAAATATTGTCAAATTTATCAAATTATCAAATCGTTTACATTGACAATGTCTTGCTCAAAACCCCAAACAATGAAAAATCGACGCATTCTACCGTGTTACAAGCCCAGTGTCTTCTCAGTGCGTAATTCAGCCAATTATTGAAGAAATTTTGACTATTGTTTGCAAGAGCAAAAATACTCAGATGCTACGATCAAATCATGGTGTAAAAGGTTTCCCATGGCTGTCTGTAACGTCAGATACGAACAGATGTAGTGCGTTTGAAATGAGCCTTGTGTTGTAAGCAACAAAATGGGTGGAAAATGAGCCACAGAAGGGGTCCTCAACATCCAAAAGTCTAACATTGAACGGTAAAAAAATGAATTAATTGCAAACCTTTTTATTTTGTACCTAGCTCCTCTTTTTAAAGAAAAAAAAATACAATGAAACTAAGTTATACTTCACACCTTATTTAATTTCATTTGTATGTTGGATAATTTACAGTCCTTTAAATTTAAAATAAAACAGTAATCTCAACATACAATTTGGTAAATAAATGGTTGATTATTAGCCCACAAGCTAAAAGAATTCAGTGCAGGTCACAACTGTTTGCATGTATACATTTACTTCATTTCACATAAAAATGGTTCAAATTCTTATAATATGCCTTAAACCTAAATATAAATTATACCTTGCCATGCTGCAATATTTCTGATAAATTATGTGTATAAAGTGTAAATACATGATACCAAAAAATACACACAAGTGATCTACAGTATGGGTACATTTTGTTTGCAGTATGGTTCCTAAGTTTAGATGTGGCAAATTGACTCCCAAGTTCTTAAAACTGAGAGTCAATTTACTCCTTCATTTGGCCAGAAACTGGCAGTTTACTCTCAAGTATAAAAAACAGAGAGTATTGACTCTTGAGTAAAAAATAATTAATCTAGAACACTGAACATCTTTAATTCTTATACTTTACATCAGTAGATACAGTAACATGTTAACATCTTAATTCTTATACTTTACATCACTAGATACAGTAATATGTTAACATCTTAATTCTTATACTTTACATCACTAGATACAGTAATATGTTAACATCTTAATTCTTATACTTTACATCACTAGATACAGTAACATGTTAACATCTTAATTCTTATACTTTACATCACTAGATACAGTAATATGTTAACATCTTAATTCTTATACTTTACATCACTAGATACAGTAACATGTTAACATCTTAATTCTTATACTTTACATCACTAGTAAAGGCACATGTTTACAACTTTACATCACTAGAAAAAGGTACATGTTAACTTCTTAATTATTTTACTTTACATCACTAGAAAAAGGAGCATGTTAACATCTTAATTCTTATCACTAAAGACATCACTAGCAAAAGGTACATGTATACATCAAAACTCATGGAATATACATCCATGGAAAAAGGTACATGTTAACATCTTCTTAAATTCTTATACTTTACATCATTTGAAAAAGGAACAAGTGAAGATCTATACTCTTGTACTTTACATCTCTAGAAAATGGTACATGCTAACATCTAAACTAAAAAGAGTTATTATCAAAAGGCAATGGCACATGAAATATCTAAAAAAAATTTATAAAAGTGACACATAGAGGATATTTGTTTGTTTTGCGTGTAAGATTGAAATATAATTTCACTGAGTGAACACCAGATGCAATATTTTCACGAGTGGCGTAGCCACGAGTGTAAATATAATAGCTGGTGTTCACGAATGAAATATATTTCAATTTTATACGTAAAACAAATAAATTTTCCTTTTTATTTCATGCGTTTTAAGTGATTTTAAGTAATTTTTACTGATTTTGCCGCGTAACGTCGCGTATTCTCCTTCGTGACATCATCACATCATGACGTCACATCAACAAGTTTGAAATATAGTTCTGTTAAATTTACTCTAATTTTGTTGCATTTTTAACATAATTTATGGTGACATCCACTTTCTTTTCCAAAAGAAGCAAAATTTACACATGACGGCATTTATATTTGCCTATTATTCCATTCAGTTTTGATTTTCTTTTCATCCGCATTCAGAAATAATCCGGCTACAGTGAAAATAATATTTTATAAATTTCACTAGTGGTTAATTAGAATATAATCATCTGATATATTACAATAATATTACAATAAAACACTTGAAAGCATGAAATAAATGATTTTAATTATATTATTAAGATATTCGAATTATATTATTAAGATATTCTTTGTTATTATCATCTTTAAGAAAATAAAATTTGCCAATTTGTTGAACTCTACGACAATTCTTACTCAGGTCTAATTTGAAAAATAGAAAGCAAAAAATGAGTATGAAATAAAATGCAAAAAGTAGTAAGTGAAGCTTCATTCCCATTTACTGGTCAAGTAAAGTTTATAATTTATTAAAATAAGGACACCATTGGGCCAAAGCCCAACCTTTAGGACAGACTAATATTGGTGTAGAAGCAGTCAATTACAAAAATGTGAATGATGTTGGTCACTAGCCAATACTTCATACCAAATATATATTTTAATTTAGACTGCATACATGGTTGTACATCAAAAACAAGAAAGTAGATCACTAGGTCAATATTAAGGTAATTTGATATATAAATTATAGTTCTACACTTGAAACTGTGCACATGATCAGTGTTATAGCTGTATATATATATAGAAAGTCCAAGTAAGTTATATTATGCCAAAATCTAGGCAATCTAATAAAAAGTTCAATTTTACATTCAAAACTGTGCACATAGTATGACATTCAAAGCTCTACATCAAAATTAAACATATTAGGCCACATCATCAAAATCTACGACAGTTGATAACAAAGTTCAATTTTACATCTCAAATTGTGTACATGTTCCAAATTTGATGTTTGTATATCAGAATAAAAGGAAGTATGGCACATCATCAAAATCTGGGAGATTTGACATCAAAGTTTAATTTTACATCTCAAACTGTGCAGATGGTCCAAATTTCCTGGCAGTACATCAAAGCGGAAACAAAGATGTTGTGTATCTATTTTTTAGAATGTTTTCTAAAAAAATCAGCTTGTTCTTTCTCAAAATCTAAAGAAGAAAAAATATAGTTAATGGTCTAGTCATTAATGATGTTTACATTATTCAAGGCTCATTCACAAAGAATTTCTAAGCATTGTCAAGGCCACATAGTTTGTCGTTTGACATAACATTACAATTTTATGATAACTTAATGTGACCTAATTAATTTAATATCCGTTAGAATCATGTTGATTTTTGTAACATAAATAAATGCATAGAAGACAAACATGACAAGAAAATTTTACTGAAAATGCAATGAAGTTGTAAATGTAAATATTTGTGAGTAATGGCATGCTATCATCCATGCTGTTCTACAGAAATTAGAAACTTCCACAGGAGCGATAGCGACAGGAGAATTTTTCTAATTTCTGTAGAACAGCTACCAATGAATACTAACATACTTAGTTTAATTCAAGCTTTATTTGGCCCATTATAATTCACTTTATTACAATTCACTATGCGGTTCTATAAAGCACTATGAGAAATAGAAGTCGATTATGAACAGAATTCGATAAAGTAACGACTTTTGTTCTTCTATGAAAATTAACGCACCAAATTTATAAGAAATACAGCGTTTAGATTGGATTACAAATAAAGTTGGACACTAAGTTATTGTAATCATAGTATAATATTTTTACAAACATTTCATGATAAGCCTATTGGCTGTTGTCAAATTTCTTCCCTCTGTTTTCTCCAATTCCTGGTTTGAGAGATGATAATTAATGCCTGTTGCCTGTAAATTAAACATGGAAATAATCTGTATTTCGTTTAGAGGAAATATAACAAAGACATTTATAATTTCTAAACAAAGATATTTATAATTTCAAATAAAAACACTCATTATAATTAATTTAATTAGTGATATCTCAAAATCTTATTTCATTTTTGTCTTAAAATAAAATCTATGTTCCCATTAAAGGGATTGGGCATGTGAAGTTTTAGATGAAATTCCACTGTTAATTTTGAGAAGTCTTCCAGATTAGCTTTATGAAGACAGACAGACAAATCAGAGAAAAGTGATACCCTCTGCAGTATTGAATAAATTAAAGTATTCATTTATTTTTAGTTTTGGAACCAATAATGAAGGTTGTAAATCAAAACAGTTTTCAAGTTAAGATGAAGTTAATTTGATGAAAAAAATTGAATGACTGTGTGTCAAAATTTAAAGTTATATCTACCGCTTCATCAGACAATATTTAAGTGTATGCAAAAGGTAACAAAACTAGATGCTGAACAAAGCAATTTTGCAAGGCAATAAAATATCTTTACATTTATATTAGAGATATCTATAATTATATTAATATATTATTAAGTCTATAAATATACATAAGGTAAAAGTCATCTTATAAAACACAAACTATAAACCGATATTCAGCATTCATAATTTGTTTCATAACAAGTTAAACTATGAAACAATAATACAGATAGGGCAACAATATTTTTCATAATGCACAAACAAAACTGTAGGTGTACACTAAAGCAAGGTCAAAATTTCTGTTAAATTCCTTCCAAGTTTCATTTCGTATTTGTGTTAAATGGTATGAAATACCATTTATGTGCAAATATTTAATGATGATCAGTGAATATTATTTCTAATGTATTAATGTAAATAAAAAATTACCTCCTGCAAAATGATTACCATTGCCTCCTTGGTCAAAACATTGGAAATGTAATTTTCTGCAAGACTGAAAAAAGAGGTATTAGTCAGATACTTACAGATACTTGTTATGTACTCTTCTTGAAAATATCAAATATATAAAAGAAATTGTCTATCTGTTTATAACTGTATAAATATAGTGTGGCTAATCTATTTGGATATGGTTTATGACATTTTATTTTACAGATTCCCTAGATGAAACTGAACACATCAGCTGTTTATTATGATAGAGTGACACCCTGTGCCAGAGCTCATATGTCTTAAGATGTTTCATGAATTTGAAAACCTTCAACATCACGTAGGGTTGAACTGATTTTGGCCAAAATATATATATATTTTTCATAGTCAGTGAAGAATATAATGGATATAAACTGGAATGTCATTTCATATACATTTATATCATTGTTTTTGGATGCTATTTTTTAGGCAATACTGTTCAGTAACATGATGGGCAAACAATGATAATACAACTTCAATCATAATGTCAAGATTGTTCTTACCCGGATGTTTTAATGAATTGTTGTGTTAGACCTTCATTTGACACAATAATGACATTATGTAATGAATAAACAGCATTAGGACTGAAAAATATAGTAAAACTAATATTATATTATCTTCTCATCATTGTTTTAGAAAGAAGAGCAAATACTATTTAAAAAGAAATATATATAAATACTAAAGAAATACTATTTATTTTTGAAAGATTAATATGTCATACATTAAATTATTTCTTTAATGCTATCATTTTATAAGCCTCATAAAGTTTAAAATAATCTTTTCCTTTTAAAATGTTGTTTTCATAGTATTATGAAACATTAACAAGCTTACAGAATCTGGGTGCCTGTGAATGCCCCCGGCCCATATTTTGATCAGTTAAAATTGTTCAATCACTCAGTTATGGACCGAAAATTTTCACCAAAACAACTTTATATAATTTCACAGAGCCATGATGTTTTGTTCTTGGGAAAAATATATGTTGGCATGTCAGTGTTATTTGATGAAGTTTAAAAATATCCTTTTTGAAATTACAAAAAAAATTATTAAAATATATATAAATGCAAGACCTTGAACTTGAATCAAGGATGAAATGCAGTATATTCCATTTAAATAATTATGAACCAGAAGTAAAAAATAATAGAGGCAATATATAAAAGTTGCACTTTTCCAGATGAGCAAAAATATTTCATGAAAATCAATATTGAGAAAAAGGTACTAAAATTTTCAGAAAGATAAAAACATTCAAAAGCCAAGTTATATTTTGCATGGTATGTGCGATTTAAGACTGTGTTTGCAGTATTTTATCAACATATTTCTATTGCGTTACTAGGCTAATTTTTGCATATGTTGACCACTTTTTGGTAATTTTCTAGGATTTTAAGTGCCAATTGCAATATGTAAATTGCTTTATTTATTCACCTCACAATAATTTATTTTCAAATACATTTCCAAATTTTTCATGAAAATTGACATGAATCTGGAGGCGTGCTACTGTAAGAGAAATGTATAAAATTTATTGTTAGCACAGCTGACCTTGACCTTGTGACTCCCAAATCTGGACCACACAAGTATGTTCCTTCCAAATATGAAAAATATCACCGATAAATAAATCCTGTAAAAGCAAATGTTTAGAAATCTATTTTGGCACCCCTGAACATGACCAACTGACCCCTTACTCAATTTCATATAAGGAGACCATGCAAGTTATCTTCCTACCAAATATGAAAGGCTTCTGTCAATATAAATAAATGCTGTATGGGCAAAAATGTAAAAATCTATTTAAAGCACTGTTGACCTTGACCTAGCTGACGCCTAACTCCATCCAAAGGTAGAAGACTTCTCAACTTATTTTCCTACTAAATGTAAAAAACAAACCTTTCAATAAAAAAAGGGTACATTTGTAAAGGCATTATCCATATTAAATATGAAAACAATTAATTTAAAAATAAAGACTGTATCAGCTAAAATGTATAAATTTATTTTATACAGCTGTGACCTTAACAATAATATCATGTACTTTGTATTGATCAGTAATTGTGAAAATTATTATGCCATTTATATAGAAAGAACTAAAGATATATCCAACTTGCCGGTTTAGGTTAACCATATCCATTTTCAATGAACTGAAAAAGGGAATAACTTTGAAAAATGGATACCATAGTTATGTTTATTACCCATATCATATCCTTTATATTAATTAGTAAGTGTGCAAATTATGAAGCCATTGGTACAGGTAGAAGTTACAAATTTACAAACTCATAAATCCAACTACCATTTAAGGTAAACTTCATACAGACAGACAGACGAAGTGTTCAAATACTATATGCTTGGGGGCATAGAAAAATACATGAAAAGGTGGTTTAACTTCAATTAATAGGATTTTATAAAAGTATTGTTGATATTTGGTTGAACTTACTCTTTTTTTCTCAGAAATCTCTTTTCCAAGTTAAGCCTGATATTGAAAATAGCCTGCAAGTTAAAACACAAGTTCAATTAATTTTTATGAGGAAAATGGGGCAAAGTCTAGTAATACTGATAACTAAATTATGTCACTCTAGAAATGATAAAATTAATACTTTCAAAATTTATTTCATCTCTTTAAATTATTCCAAATGTCATATAAATTTGTTTAATTACTAACAATTTTAAAACATAACCTACTATTTTTTATATGAGCACAAAATATCCCTTAACTGTGAATGAAACAACCACTGACCATATGATTTACATTTTGCCTTAATAAGTCATAGCAATACACTAAAACATGTCCTTGCTGGGTAAATAGGCCCTCGCCAAATCCTCTTGTCAATGATAACTTGTTTGACACCACAAAATCTGTATGCCTTTTCATCCATGGGACACTGCTGAAGTTGGAACATTAAATAATTTTACTTAAATTAACAGAAAACCATTTAGATACATGCATCAGAGTCAAATGATAAATTCATCCTTAAAGGTTTTTAAATACAAAAGTTTTTGCTTGTAAACATAGATTGTGCACAAATCTTAACATTTGAGTGATTATTTGCAAATGATAAACATATTTCTTAATAAATCATCATTGCCTTTCTCGATGTTGGATCTCTAAACATTATATAAAGAAAAAATATTTAAAATAGGTAAAATTATAATACCTTTCACTACCCTCAAAATGCACAATATCCCAGCAATACTGGTAAGCCGTCCTCAACTGTAAAGGTTTTACAACAGAAAAATGAAATTGTAATGACTTCATAAACAAGTAAGTTTTACTAGTATTTATTTCCTTCATTCACTCATGAACTTTGTTAAACCATATAATGTAAACGCTCAGTGGAACAGGTTGTTCAAAATTCCTTAAAAAGATGTATCACTTGTTATATGTCATGAGGGTTATTTAACTTACTACATTGTAGTTACCAAGTTTCATTCAGATATGCAAACTTTCAATCAGAAATCATTTTTATTTTAGTTGTTACATAATATTTCAAGCATTACAAAGTATTATAGTATTATAAAGGGGTATAATTTAAAGAAAGCTCATGATTTCTTTGACAACTTTTTTTATTTATCTACTTAAAGACAATCTTCATAAACTTACATGTCTCATGGCATCTGTTGATGTCATAAAACTTTCATCTTCCCTATCTTCACCATCCATGTCAGGGACATAAGGCAGGGGATCTACTGGCCAGTTTATAATATTTTCCTTCGGAAGAAAGAAATAGTATGTGGAAATGACAACATTTTTATTCTATAAAATAATTAGCAAGACATAAAAAAGGACAGTTATATGAGTCATTATCAAAATTCACATTTTTTTTCTGTTCACTGTTCATAATGAACATATAAAATGTGCATATGTATAAATGCTAATTGAAGCTGATCTATTTAGTAGGATGTAATTGTAACATTTTATCACATTTCTTGTTATTTTATGTACAATTTGTGGTTTAATTTCTGTTTAACTGTCAATAAACTTGTGAAAAATGCTGTCCCAAATCTCAAATGTCTTTATCTTAATGATATCTTATTATTAAATTTACAATTATTTACAAGCTAAAATTCATAGATTAAGCATATTTAGTTTATAACTGATGAAACAATGCAAAGGCTATCTTAATATATTTTTAATTTCTTAATCTAAAAAATTGAGTTATATGCTTGTCCCACATATTTACAAAGAAATCTTGCTAAGTATGTACACGGGGACATCTTTAAAATTAAATTTCCTTGTTTTAAAAGTATTTGGCTTTGTTCTCATTCACGGGTGGTGAACCGCAAATGGATCTCAATTTTTAGCAATGGTAATAAATATGTGCAGGTAAGGTTAACCAATGCTGCCACTGAGATTGTCATGACAATACCTCCACATTTTATTTTTCGGAAAAGTGGAGCTAAAGATCAATAAGTGGTGTATTACCTTGCAAAATCTGCAGAAAAAATTCTGTGGCTCATTTAGGGTATCTAGTCCTAAACACTCTGGATGATACCATTTACGGCATTTCCCGGGCAAAAGATTGAGAACATAATCTTCACAAAAAGTGATTGGTTGAATTTCCTGTAAAGTTGAAAAAAAATGATACCAAAATTTTAAAACAAACACACACTTTTGTTGAAAAACAAAACAACAACACAAATAAACATTTATCACTTCAGCGGGAGCAAATATCGGTTTCAAATTAAAGTTTCGTAAGATATGTTAATGACTTCCCGATGCTCGACTGTAAGTAATTTGTATATGTATGCGGTTTTTTGTTGTTTTTTTTTTTGTTTTTTAATTAAAGCTTCTTATTCTTTAATTAATATTTTTTATGTATCTCATAATCTGTATTGAAAATTTGAATTTTATTACAAATGGGCTATCAAATTATGATGTATGCCCTAGAATTGAATAAACTTTCTAATTACACAATACGGGGTCATACTGATCTTTGCGTCTTTCTCTGAAATAATTATTTCCTTGTTAAAACATTTTTGACCACATATTTCTGTCAATTAACTGTTCACTTTACTTCCGATTTTGTTGTACGGAAACACATGTTTCTATTTGTGTTTTCTAATCAATTCGAATCTATAATCAGTTTAATGGGATCACCACCGGGTAAACGACTACTAGGTACTTTGGTCATGTTTTTTACCACAAATATTTGAATGTTTCTATTGGGATTAAAATGAGCATAGTAAACTAAACAACTGTTTGTATAAATTCCTGACCTGTCTAATTCTAATTATGAGATTAGTGAATATATAAGACTTTCACTACAAAATATTCCTAAACAAAAGAGCACATGTTTAAATTTATTCCTATACAAATAAAAGATCAGAGTAGGGATCTGTCAATTACCAAAGATACTTTTATGTTAAAAGTTTGATTAATGAATTATGTAAGATGAAAATATAAGTATTGCTTTTTTTATTTTGCTAATGTAAAATGTAATATTGTGCTGAAATTTTGTCGGAGGTCCTTAGGGGTTTTGTAGTTAAATAGTTTTTTTTCGGCGATAATGGTTAAAGAATATAATGTTTTTAAACTATATGTTCATCACCATCAGTGAATTTTTAGTTAAATGTATGCAAAATATTTACTAAACAGCTATATGATTTAGCGGTTTAAGAGCGTTTTCCGCGTACAGCCTCCTGGGGTGTACACATAAGTTAGTTTTCCTTAGTTATCACGCAAGCATGATCCATGTCTCTGATGTAAGCGACAGTTTACAATTATTTGTCTTTAAAAAATATTAAGGACTATTAATAGTTTATAACAACAAAAGAACATGCATGATATTGAGAATACGTAGTTGCAACGTTCTAGTTAATGACCCGTCATAAACAGTTGGTCGCTGCGTAGTAATTGGAAAATTGTTATCAAAAATAATAAAGAATATTTGCCACTGAATTAAAGCATTTACTTATAAATTTTCATTTATGCTTTTTGTTAAAAAAATATGGATAAAGTTATTATTTTGAAGGGTTTTCATACCAGAACTATTTATTACAGACGTACGTATGCCTAAACCTGATTACCGCGGCAGTATGACGTCACAGAGTAGTGATTTAAACAAAAATCAAGAATTTTTCAGAGAATTATTATCTTTACAAATTGCAGATATGAAATTAAATAATGAAATTATTTTCATATTGTAAATGTCTGTGATGAGTGATGAGTCAGCTTAGAAAAAATCAAGGTACTATTTTTTGACCTGATTACCGCGGCAGTATGACGTCTCGGAGTAGTGATTTAAACAAAAATCAAGAATTTTTCAGAGAATTATTATCTTTACAAATTGCAGATATGAAATTAAAGAATGAAAATATTTTCATATTGTAAATGTCTGTGATGAGTGATGAGTCAGCTTAGAAAAAATCAAGGTACTATTTTTTGACCTGATTACCGCGGCAGTAAGATTTGACAGACAGTTATTAACACTGGGTCGGCATAGCCTCCCCAAAAAAACCACCATAAAAATTTAAGTTATCTATGATAAACAAGAGCGATAAGTGTTGACATGTTTTGCCTTATACTAGCTAATTCCATGTTGCAGCTATTGTGTAGCAGGAAACACAAAAATCTTTAACAGGCCAAATAATGTTTTTTATTCAAGATGTTAAACATGAAACATTCAAACAATTTCTTCAAAGGAAATCTAAAAGTCCACCACAGCTCCTGGAGTAAAAGGTTAAATTGAAACATTCTGAAAATTTGCTTTTACAACCCTTTTCAATCTAAATTTTGTTGTTGTTGTAGTTCAGAAAATTCAGTTAAACAGTCATAACTTTCTTTAATTCTCTACGTGTCTGTATCCATTTTCTTAGTTAGAACATTACCAATGTAATAGAAATAATTTCAATTCAAAATTAAAATAAAAGGTTTTTCTTTCTTTTCTTATGTGTGTCTAAGGAAAAAAAAAATCTATCAAATCTTTCAGCCCTTTGATATAGTCTTTTTGTTTTAATTCCAAAAACATGAAGCACAAAACATGCAAAATTATTTCTTGGGGAGCTTCCTGATTCTAATAAATTTATTTTTCATCAATTAATCTAAGACAAATTTATATTTGTGTGAATATTTCCCTTGCTCTTTGTGCTCTTGTTCAATAATTACATGTCCCTGATTGCCATAAAAAAGGAAAAATTGGTAAACAGGTCAGGGTGTAAAAATGCATACCTGTGGTCATCCGGCTTGTAACATACACAGTATCTGGCCCTTGGTTTTTTCGTCAAATTTGGGTACAAAAATGATGATCGGCTGATCTAATAATTGAAAAAAATAAATAAAATAAAAGATAGAGAAAATGAATGTACAAACATATCTTTGCTAGGATATCAGACATACCATGCATAATTACCAGTTATACACATGTTACTATATATTTTAACAAAATTGCCTATGATTTCAACTGATTATGAGTGTCACGTGACCTATTATAAGTTTGCCGCCCGGGGCCAAGAACTAGTTATCAGCCAGCAGAACATGTGCATGTGCACAAACTGAAACAATGACGTCATATTTTACGTCATGAAACAGTTAACTGTAAAAGTGAAGTTAGGTTGTCAACACAAATCGCTTTATTTTTATTATGAGAGCTTAAGCGTATTTAGTACAAACACATTTTTGTTATTATTGAAATTTGAAGAAATAATATGACAAATTCATTCAGAAAAAAATAAAAAATAAAACTTGCTTCTAGATTCTATTGCTTTGAACACACAAACAAAAAACATCTCTGTACAGAACAGTAGAAGTGTAGACAAGAATTTCAACGAAAGAACTTCAAAGTATTTGTTGTTGTTTTTTTTTTTTAAATGCTACTATTAGATCTACCAAGTGTATTAAAGACATTAATACACGTCAGAGTAGGGCCGGAAGGTGATAAGCGGCCCTGAAATGAATAATGCCCTCGGGTCAATTATTCATTTTGCGGGCCGATTATCACCTTCCTGCCCTACTTTGCTGTGTATTAATCTCTTATTATTACAGCTTGAAGAGTTATCATGTTTAGTTTCAATAAAGACATATGAATTTCTGATGCCAATATCAATAGTAGAAGATAATTATATTATCATTTTCTTTAAATCTGCTGACATTATTTTTGAACATGAATAAAAAGAAATTGATTACTTACATTTTTTATTTTTTTCCTGAGGGACATGTATTTTATTACATTATTACTTATTTCCTCATTTTTCTTTTCCTGATCATCTGATATTTCTGGAAGAATAAAAAGAAAAAGCTTTACTTCATTATTCAAAACTATCTTACCATTTTAGCTATGGACATCAAAATATTTTTGATGACAATAATTATCATAAGATTGCTTTGTTAAAATATATTTTAGGATACAACAGAATCTTAGCAACTTGCAATGCTATTTCTTAATATATGGATGTCTTAAGAAATTACTTCCACTTAAAAACAAGATTGCATTTGAGAAAAATGCTATGCCACCGCATTAATACAACACTAAATAGTAGTGTAGGAACAGATTTTTTTTTTATATATAAATTTGAAGATTGTCATAATGCATAGATCCCTGACCTATCTTATTCTTATTATCAGATTAGTGGTTAAATCTGTTGTTAACTCAATAAAAGATCAGAGTAGGAATACATCTTCAAGTGAATTTAGTGAAGGTCATATTTCACACAGCCTAAATTTCATGACTACATAAAAGGACAACACAGTAACACACTTTGTCAAAATCTAGGTCAAAGTTCACTTTACATCTGAATCTGTGCACATAGTTCAAATTTCATAGCTGTACATCAAAGGACACGAAAGTAGGTCACAAGGGTTTAATTAAAAACAATCTTGATACAGGTCCACCAAACAACATTTCAAGTCAAATATCTAAGCTATAGCTTTCTCCCATTCAGAAAACATTTGTTTTATTTTCTGTTTTTACTATGTGTACATAATGAGAATCACTGCCCCCGGGCAGGGCCAATTTTGACAACAGGGGAAAAATTTGAACAACTTTGGTAGACGACCTATAGATGATATTTCATAGCAAACATCAAAGCTCTATGCCTTGTACCTTCAGACAAAAATATTTTTTATTTTTTTACTATATGTACATAATGAAAATCAATGACCCCCTGGGCGGAACCAATTTTGACCCCAGGGCTATAATTTGAACAATCTTGGTAAAGGTTCACTTCGCAATGTCTCATGCCATATATTTAGCCTCTAGCCTCTAGCAATTCAGAGAAGAAGATTTTTCAATTCAGAGAAGATTTTTTCGAGTTTTTACATTATACATATAAGGAAAACTATCGCCTCTGGGGCAGGGCAAATTTAACACTAGGGGCATAATAAAAACTACTTTAGTAGAGCACCCATAGATGATTTTATAAACCAAATATCAAAGCTCTAAGCCTTGTACCTTCAGACAAGAGGATTTTTATTTTTTTTTAAACTTAATGTACGTAGTGAAAATCAATCTCCTGGGGGGAGCCAATTTTTACCCCAGGGCTATAATTTGTACAATCTTGCTA